ACCAGCCATCCCAGACAACCTATCGTGGCTGCACAGTGTAGACAACGAATACATATTTTTTTCTAAAAGAGTGAACATTCGCAGTTCTTAACACCATCAACAATGTGGAGCTTACCATACAATTCACGATCGAGGAGGAGAGCAAGAACTAGCTTCCATTCCTAGATGTCATGTCCTCTTAAACGCCTGTGGCGACAGATCCTTTATAGTTTGCCAGAAACAACTAAATAAAACAAACTTGCGTGCTTCCATTCACACCATAACACAAGGATCAAAAAGGACATAATCATCAGCTTCGTTTTTAAGGGAAAGAGTGATACATCATGGCACACAAAGATATGTCGTGAAACGGGATGAAGCTAATCTGTTAATAAAAAAAAAGGACAATCTAAAAGTTGGCTTTGTTAAGGAGGAACCATGATGGCAGTATCTAATAGCGCCGTGCAACGGTATTCAGCATCTCTCTGGTGTACTGCAAAGATGATGTTGTTTTAACAAGACGCTGCAGCCAGGTGAAAACATGGCCCCGACCACGTACCAAACACTGCCACCACCAGACCTCACCTCACCTCTCCCCTCTTCACTTTCCCTTGCAGGTTCCATTTTGACACTCTATACTCCAGTTCCGCCTCCCGTAGGAGGTATATATATGTGTGTGTGTGTGTGTGTGTGTGTGTGTGTGTGTGTGTGTGTGTGTGTGTGTGTGTGTTTGTGTGTGTGTGTGTGTGTGTATGACGAATGGTTTTGAAAACCGACAAGTTGAAGAATTGAGAATTATGCAGCATATGCGAATCTTTAATAAAGATTCCCATATGTTGCATAAGTGTCTTAATTCTAGAAGGTACATGTTGTTTATAAAAGGTCCTTGTTAATGTTCATGAATGTTATGCATAATTTGTATAGGCCGTTGATAACCTGTTTAACTGAGCATCTGGTAATATGTTCACTGTTATGTCAACCTCAATATCCTTTTCCATTCCTTACCCTAGAAATTGCTTTTTCACTTAGTAAAAAAGATTTTGTTACTGTACGGGCCAAAGAAAATCAAATTCCACTGTCATTGTTATGTGATGACCAGTTCAATTGTACCATTGGTTCTGTGGCGTGAAGGGGGTTCGGTTATAGCAACAAGCAACAGCTTGTATGCAGTGTTGTAGACACTGGTGACTACAAATACAGATGCAAGTGTGGTAGCCGTTGGCCCTTTGGTGATTCACGGCAGAGAAACCACTGGCTTAAGAATATAAGAAACGAGCAACATTGCAGCAGATGCAAACCCACTAACAAAAATGTTAGTTTAACCCATACTGTTGGACTCGAGATCTGAATGAGATGGATACGTTAATACCAGTCACCTTCATTATTTTTCGATTCCCATTCTCTTGGGCGTTGCAGCATGACTAGATAGACATTTATTAGACTCTTTCTGAAGCTTGTACATTCAAATGAATTAGCTATTTGTCGGACTATTCCCACTGTCTGTCTATTGAACTGTATTGCACATTTATTTGGCAAATTCTTCCACCCTGCTCATATCTTAATGTACCTTTTTTTGCAAGCCTATTACATTTATACTTTTATGAGATTCTCCTCGCAAACACTGAAATTTAAGAGCCATCAATCTTCTGAGGCGGGTCGATAACGCATATCTAGACCAGGACTCAAGTGGCGTAGAAACATGCAACATTGTACTCTAGGGTCCCTATACAGTTCTGAAAATAAAGACACATGTAGAATAAACCTACACTGGGACAGCATTTTACTTTTGGTGAATTGAAGGAACACTCCTTAGAGCGAAACTTTGCCTTAATTTTTTATGTATCTGTTTTCAAGGCAGTTAGCAGTACGCGCTTTAACCTATACGATTCTGCCTCTTAATAGGGTGTTAAAGCCATTAAAAGGGTGAAAAGCTATTTGGTAAAAGTTAATTCACCCACCACACCCGTGGTGCTAGCTTCCACAGTCTCAAACTGATCGATAAATAACGAGAGGAACATGTAAGCCAATAAAAAACTTCGGTGTAATTACCCAATATTACATATCTTTTCCTTATATTCGCTGAGTTAATATTGATTTCATTCTTTTCATTCTAATGCGGGTCTTAAGAACTTACGTTCTTAAGAAAGTTTTTCTAATGTTGGTCTTAAGAACTTACGTTCTTAAGAAAGTTTTTCTAATGTTGGTCTTAAGAACTTACGTTCTTAAGAAAGTTTTTCTAACGTTGGTCTTAAGAACTTACGTTCTTAAGACCAACATTAGAAAAACTTTCCATTTTTCTTGACAGACAACATGTCCCTCTAGCGGAAAAGTCAAGAATGAAATCAATATTAACTCAGCGTATAAAATAAATGAATAACCTCTTGTATAATAAAAGATGACGACTTAAAATTCAAAATTCGACCCCACTGCCAGTCAGCAGTAAACCTAAAAAGCCGTTGGTCTAAACATAATTTATTACTTTCATGAACACAAAATTTAGTGTAAAGCATTACCTGTTTATGTAATACAACCACTGGGAGGGGGGGGAGGGTTGAATGATAGCTCTAGGCCTCTCGAGTTGCAGTCAACACATCTTTAGGGGATTGCAATGTTGCAGAAATGAGTAGGAAGTCCAGGAAGAAATGTTCAAGGGACAGACTCTTGCAACACTAAAGGCCTAGAGCTATTATTCAACTCCTCACCCCTGGTTGTTTTGCTTCCTGTTGATGAATAAGTCGCACAAGTGCCGAGTTACTGGTTGCAACAACCAAACTCGATGACAGCGTCCTCAAACTAAACATAAAAACTAACATTCCTCAACTCCACTGAGTTACGGGTGACAGCTTAAATATTAAGTAACTGCGCAATTGCTCACTTTTGGTCTCTATCAGGTAGCAGAGCTCCATAGTGGAAGCTTCACGGTGAAAAGCTCTACAGTGAGAGCTCTATAGTGAAAGCCGATGTTAATCGACTAACACGTACGTAAATTTCATACTCTGAAGTGAACGGAGGCAGAAAATCAACAGGAGAGAGAGAGGAAAGTGTGGTGCGTTTACCTTAATTAACAGGAGAAAGAAAGGTATGGTATATTTCCCTTAATCGACAAGAGAAAAAGATGTGGTACGTATATTTACCTTAAATCAACAGGAGAGAGAGAAAAGCGAGGTGTGATTACTTCTCTGACGACGTGGGTCAATACCACAGCGTGAGCAACCCTAATCAATACAATATGAATAATTTATTTGACAAACATGAGCTCTGAAAGAACTACTTACAGTATAAAAGCTAAAATTGAATTTGTGGCTTCCTGGATATGTCCACGTAAAATGTGACTTGTATATATATGGAGAAAAATCCACTTTCGCCCTCCTAGCAGACACGAATTTTGCTGCATTATTTGCTGAGTGATGCATGTGCGTGTGTACCCATCTATATGTAGATGCAGCAGTCGAGATTCAGCTCCTGGCCCTTGTATGTAACTGTGTGTCCTATAAATGCAGGGTGTATATATATATATATATATATATATATATATAATATATTATATATATATATTATATATATATATATTAGAATTGTAATCTCAAACAGGTGGTATTTAATCAATGACAACAGCGGGGGATCGAACCCGTGAACAAAAATTCATGACGCTCTAACCACTGGACCATACAATCTTACAAACAACCTGAGTCTAACGAACTAGGCTTGCTTCAAGTTGCGAGGACATACGATGGTATGGTTGCCTCAGAGCTAATTTCATTCTACTCCCCGTTTGGTGCACTAGCCTTCACAACATCAATATATATATATATATATTTTATATATATATATATATATATTATATATATATATATATATTTATATATATATATATATATATATATATATATATTGATCAATAACAACACTGCGACTAGCCAAGGACTCGAACCCATGATCCTTTGGCCTGCCACATGGTGGGCGAAACTCATGACGTCTTTACCCACGGGACTAAAGAATCCTTTGGTCCCGTGGTTAAAGGCGTCACGAATTTTCGCCCACCATGAGGCAGGCCAAAGCAGCATGGGTTCGAGTCCTTGGCTAGTCGCAGTGTTGTTATTGGTATATGTATATATATTTTATATATATATATATATTTTAAAATATATATAATATATATATATATATTATATATATATATATACCTAGAAAATGTACAGAGAACCTTCACGGCGCGCATAACGGAGATAAAACACCTCAATTACTGGGAGCGCTTTGAAGTTCCTGAAACCCGTATTCCTGGAACGCAGGCGGGAGAGATACATGATTATATACACCTGGAAAATCCTAGAGGGACTAGTACCAAACTTGCACACGAAAATCACTCACAACGAAATCAAAAGACTTGGCAGACGATGCAACATCCCCCCAATGAAAAGCAGGGGTGTCACTAGCACGTTAAGAGACAGTACAATAAGTGTCAGGGGTCCGAGACTGTTCAACTGCCTCCCAGCATACATAAGGGGGATTACTAATAGACCCCTGGCAGTCTTCAAGCTGGCACTGGACAAACACCTAAAGTCGGTACCTGACTAGCCGGGCTGTGGCTCGTGCGTTGGATTGCGTGCAGCCAGCAGTAACAGCCTGGTTGGTCAGGCTCTGATCCACCAGGAAGCCTGGTCACAGACCGGGCCGCGGGGGCGTTGACCCCCGGAACTCTCTCCAGGTAAAACTCCAGGCATATATATATATATATATTATATAGTATATATATATATATATATATATATATATATTATATATGCAGTTTGCAGAAGCATCTAAATTGTCGTATCTGAGCGCCTCTGCAAAGAAATGATTATGTGTGAATGATGGTGAAAGTGTTAAATGATTGTGAAAGTTTTTCTTTGGGTCGCCCTACCTCGGTGGGAGACAGCCGACGCTTTGAATATTTCCATTCACTTTTCTTGGAGAAATGAAGAAGACTTAATAACCCTCCGCTCGTTAAGCTTAGCTAAGCATTTTTTCCCACTAACGTATAGGTTTGGTGCAGGATGGAGCGCTACGAGAGCCTGGGCGTGGTGGGCGAGGGTTCCTACGGCCTGGTGCTTCGTTGCCGACACAAGGAGTCAGGCCAGACGGTGGCTATCAAGAAGTTCTTGGAGAGCGAAGATGATCACACCGTCAAGAAGATTGCTCTCCGGGAGGTTCGCATGCTCAAGGTGGGTAGCTTTCTTATTCTTCACGATATTTGCTGTTTACTTACAAGTTTCTTCTCCTGACCATGACTGCAAGAAATGTAGCGTATTGAAGGAGGGCTTCAAACGTGTTCCTTGATGCATTACGTTAGTTTATTTAGAGCTCAGAAGCTTAACACCTATACAGTTTTTATCCGGCACAATTTTGAGGGCAATGTTTTTCGAATATTGTGTAGAGAATGCGGAGTTTTGAGATCAGGAAGAGCTGTGGAGGTATCCAAAGTTTCAGAGGGCTCAGGGGTTGTTGAGGACATTTAGAGAGGATGGAGCAAAATAGGATGGCTAGCAGGGAGTATAAATTTAAGGGTAGGGGTCTTCCTGAGAAACGTTTGCGGGAGGGAGCAAGGGCGGTTTTCATTGCTAGAGGCTTGGACATTCAACAGGCTTGTGCGAGAATGTTAGATGGGAATGAGTGGAGGCATGTAACTTTTTACAGTTTGATGTGCTATTGGAGTGTGAGCAAGCTAACATTTATGAAGAGATTCAGGGAAACCGGTTAAGAGGACTAAAGTCCTGGAGGTGGGAAGTACAATACCTGCACAGTGAAGGCGGGGTGTGGATGTTCCGGTTTGGAGGGTCATTTGAATTGTAATGTCGGCGCTCTTCTGGCAAGACAATGATTAACCAAGCAACAGTAAGAATGTTTTATTCTCGGTCTGATCACCCTACCTCGGGAGACGGTCTGAGTGATAAAAAAATAATCAAGTGGTTTGAAGATGTCATCCACAGCTCATTTCATACCTAAGTTCTTTGTAAGATATCCCATCACAACAATCGACTAATACACAGATTGTTGTATTAGTCGATTGATGTCCATGTTTTACTGCTAGGAAAACATAGACATCAAGTGTCTAAGAAGACTTACCCATACGTCTTGTCCAGCCCGAGAACGAAATCGAATGGTGGCGGTTTATTCTCAAGAAACATTACAAGTGTCACCTGAACTATCTTTTACACTCTGCTTAAGAAAATTGGATCACTACCTTGTAGCATACCATAAGAACACTTCATCAGTTCATGTTATTTTTCTCTATGGATTTATAAAAATCCCTGTTGAACGAAACGTCTAGTAAATAAAGTACCATAACCTGTACATTGTGTCATGGTACAAACCTTAGTAATTGATACCGATAAACTGGTTTAAAAAGCCACCCGAGGAAACATTAATAAATATGGCCTAATGTTGGTTTACATGTCTTAAACCACACTGTATCATGCCGGCTGATACCCGCCTCAGGTACCAGCTGAAAACTCACACCGCTGAGCTTGTCACATGTAAGCTTAGGTTAAGAGACTTGTTTACTGCTCACTGCTTAATTCATTTATAACCCTGGAGCTTACTGCTTTCACATATCTGTTTTTTTAATGTTTCTTTAACCTCTAGAACTTCATATAAATATATTAATAGCAAGGTTATCTATCTTTTAATATTTTCTTATAATATTCTTTGGTGATAATGATTATTAGAGTGAAAATATGATGTATTGCATAAGATTAGTGTTAGCCAGCGCATGTTTTTTGATTCTGGTGTTGGTGTGGAGGGTCAGTAAGTCCAATTTATAACAGGGGTGAGTGAACTACTGTCTTTGATCTGTCTCTCACTGACACACACACTACACACACACATGACTGAACACATGCACTCTCTCTCTCTCTCTCTCTCTCTCTCTCTCTCTCTCTCTCTCTCTGTTAAATTAGGTAAATCGACACATGTGTCAATAATAAAACATTTACTACTGCCACTTCTCGCTTACCAGGAACTTTGTCAAATATATGTAAACAATACATACTTGGGCACAAGGAGTGAAGTGAGATGTCCAGAAAGCGGGACACTTTTTGAAGTTAATGGTAGTGAAGCAGTAGCACATTGTGTAGGTAGTTAGTTGGTGAGGGTATAGTTGACTCTCTGAGTACATGACTTAACGTGAGGTGAACTGGATTATTAAATTTATCAGGGGGAGCGTTAAACCCATAGGATTATACAGCGTATGGGGGGGGGTTGAGGGAAGGAATTCGGCTAAATTCGGGGAAAAAGGAGCACAACCCAAATTTCCCCCTAGTCAAGACCCCCTCCCCCAGCATCAAAAGGTGAAGCTGAGAGCTGAGTTGAAAATAATTTGGGGATTATCTTTCCTGTAAAGAAATCATCGTAAAGATTTGCCCTTGTAATAGTCCCCCCCCCCCCCTAAAAAGGGAACGTTTAAAAAATGTGTATTATTTTTTGGTGTCTTGAAAGGTGTTAGTTCTGTAGTGATCGCCCCTCCAGCGGGTGAGTGGTGCGAGGCGGCCTTTTTTTTATGAAAAATTCTTGACTGCTTTGCAAAATTTACTGCACTTGATTTTTCATAGAACGCAGTCCTTCTGCCTTTAATATTCAACTTCACGGCCTGTATTGACACTGTCCTTCATTTTTTTCCCGACAGCTTAGTGATAACATACTGGTTTTCTCAGAAGCAAACGTAGCCTGTCGACCTGAATGAATAATTAGCGAAGCTCCATACGCAGCTTCAGTTACACATACGGCAGTGCCCAAGAGGCTAGGATATTGTAATGCTTGTTGCAGGGCCTGGAGCTGAAAATTAATCTCTAAAAAATTTGCTTTTTTTAGAGTCTGTGTAAAACAGGATACACTTGTATACATTGTGTCCCGTATAATGTACATGTATACATGGTTTAAAGCTACTACGTGTCATTCGGTAGAAAATTAAGAGAGACGGAACCAGGAGCAAGAGGTCAATCCTCCCTGCCGCCTACTTGTGGTTGCAGGGGTCGAGGCATAGGTCCTGGCCCCGCCTCTTCCTGGTAGCATGGGTCATTTTTCCTGCCCCTGTGTGGTGCGTTGTGGGGGTGGGGTGTGTGTGTGGTGTGGGGGTGTGGTGTGTGTGTGTGTGGGGGGTGTGTGTGTGTGTGTGTGGTGAAATGTCGTCCCGACAGGTAAAACTGGTAAATTAAAGAACTACTTAAAATTGTCATTCTAAAATTTTGTCTTTTACTTTGGGAAAATTTATTTTTTATTATGTTAATGTAAAAATTAATTTTTTTGTCCCAAAAAACAACCTTAAAAATTCCTAACCTTATTAAAAACAAGCGAAATTTTAAATTTTACCCTTATCCAAATAAATGTATCTGGAGTTTATCTGGAGGATTTCCCGGGGGTAAACGCCCCCGGGGCCCCGGTCTGTGACCAGGCCCCCTTTTGGTCATGTCCCAGGAGCGCCCCACACCAGTCGACTAAACCCATACCCATTTTACTGAGGGGGGGAACATAGACAACGGTTTAAAAGAACCGTCCAATGTTTTATCTGGTGGGAATCGAACCCGGCCCCTCGCCTTTGAACGGAGCTTAACCCACCAGGCCAGAAAAATTTTGCAGTAATTTATTAATAATTAAAAAATAAATATATTTTTTTTTTTCGTTGGGGTTCAAATGATTTTTCTAAATTATTGCATTCAAAAATTTTTCCCCTTGCCTTATTCAGAAAAAAGAGCGTTGCTATTTAAGCCAAAATCGCAAGTTTTCCACACACACAACACCACACCCCAAAACCACAACACAAAAATAAAAAAAAATATATATTAATATATATATTATAAAGAGAGAGGAAGAGAGAAAGAGAGAGAGAGAGGAGAAAGGAGGAGAGAGAGAGAAGAGAAGAGAGAGAGAGAGAAGAGAGAGAGAGAGAGAGAGAGAGGAAAAGAAAAAGAGGAAATTAAGAAAAAGAAAAAAAGAAGAAAGAAAATTTAAAAGGTAAAAAAGGAAAAAAAGTTGAAAAGGATCAAAGAGGTTATTTAAAAAAAATTAAATTTTATAAAAAAAATTAAACCCGAAATTTTTTCCAAAAAAATAATTTTTAAAATTAGGACTTCCTAAACAGGCCCCAGATTATCAATTTACCCTTACAAGCCAAAAATCCCAAAGTTTTAAATAGCCCTGCCTAACACTTTTTGGGGAAATATTTTTTATAAAAAATATTATTAATATATTTAAAAAATTTTTTAATTAATTTATTTATTTTATAAAAAAATTTTAAAATTGTATATTAAATTTTATACATTTTTTAAAATGTTTTAATTATATATATATATAAAAATTTTATATATATAATATTTTTTATATATAAATATATTTTAAAAAATATATTTTAATTATATTGGGAATCGTGTTATTAGCCGTAGCAAAACTATTTAAAATTTAATTTTTGTCTTTTTGAACTTGAAAATTTTGATTTTTCAAGTTTAAAAAAAAATTTTCACGAAAATAAAATCCTGTTTTAGTAAAAGATCAGTTTTCTTAGGTTTTTATTATTTGACTTTGTTTTGTTTACAGGAGAGAATCAGTGTTTTAAGCACATCAAAGAAAATTTTTAAAACCCCACAGAAACTGCCCCATGAAATGGTGAATTTAATCGAGTTTTCCGTCGAAAAGCGTCCCTGTCCCGGGTTTTAATACGTCGACCATAATATCCTCGACGAAGGAACCACAGAGTAGGTTGGATGGGCACCTCCCGGGGCATATATTCCGGTGTTGGGGGGGCATCGCTTTCTGTCTAAAAACCGGTAGAAAGTTGGTTTTCTGGATACTTTAATTTACTCTAATTTTTCTTAATTCTGTGAAGTGTCAAAATGATCCTAGTGATTTTTTTTTTTTAGTTTCTCTGTTTTGCATTAAAATAATTTTTTGTATTCTTTGATGTTTTACTGTTAAAATGGGATTTTATGATAAATGGAAAGCAGAAAAGAAAAAAATTTTTTAGTGTTTTTTAATCCTTTAAGTGTAAAAATTATTTTTGGGTTTTATTAATGGTCTTTTTCTTTGAGGGTAACAAGATTTGGATAAACAGAAGGGTCGACTAGGGGCTCGAACCGCGGTTTGAAATTGCGTCCCACGCTTTACCGTCGGATGTCAATTGGCGGGCTGCAGTTCAGCCCCTCGTCCCCCCTTCTGTTTTTCATCGACGCTGTTATTCAACTTAACGGAGTTCATAAAAAGATGGTTTTGGTCGCTGTGGGAACCGAGAAACGTATCCCGATCCCATTAGCCGCCCATTCTACTTCAAAATAACAAAATAAATAAAACGTAAAATTAACATTCCAATTTATCGCAATAAAACTAATACCCCAAATTTCTTTGAAAAAATTTTGGGAATCGGAACCCCCACACCCCGAAAAAAATTTTCGAACCCCGACAAGATAATTTCTTTGACGCTAAAAAAAGGGTTATGAGAGGCTTTTTTAGTGTGCATAAAGATCTTTTCCCTTAAATACACAAGCCTTAAAATGCTCGGAAGTTCATTTGGAGTATGGGTTTAAAGTGTTAACGCCGATGGGTAAGGTATCCTTTATTGCAAAATTATTTATTAATAAAATTGGTTATTAAAAAACTTACGCAAAACAAATAAATAAAAATTGGTAAACAAAATTTACACAACAAAATTTAAATAAAATGGTAAATTAAAATTTACACAACACAAAATTAATAAAATTGGTAAATTAGAACTTAACAAAAAAATCAAAAAAAATTAGTAAATTAAAACCTACACAACAAAATATCAAAAATTTGAAAAATTAAATTTACACAATTTAAAATAAAAGAAAAACTGTCTTAAAAGAGAACAAACAGCAAAAAATTTTTTAAGCCGATCTTTTTCCTTTAGGCACAAATCTATCATCCAAATTTTAACAGTTGGTTTTTTAATCTGACCAGTTTGTCCCTACATCCCCTATCCCCAAAAGGGGATCATTTTTTTTCACGATTTTATAACTATTAAAAAGGGGAAAAAGTATTCAGAAGAGCTACTAAGTTTTTTACAAAAAATAAGATCATATCTTTTGGAAATAAATTGGGTCTAGGCCCTCATCTCAGTGCTGATGCTAAGCTGATCAAAGGGGCTTTTTCAAGGTTATACTAAAACCAAATTCAGCGTCTTATAAAACGTAAAAAAAAACGAAGACTGTCACCCCAGAAGAGGAAATTACACTTGCGTATTTTTCGGCGGTAAAACGCTAAAGAATTGGGTGGCTCCAAAAATTGGTTTCCCAGTCAATCTCAATATGATAGGTAACTACAGACTGCGATTTTTCCCACTGTTTTCTCATGTGGAATAGGTAACGGCGATTGCAAGTATTCCCATAAATTTAAATTTCTCTTATAAAATGGGTAAAGTACACTGCATGTTTTCCCATAATGTAATAGGGTACTATGCACACAGGTATTTTATATCGTAGTTTATATGGGATAGTTCCAAAAAATGTTATTTTTTTAAAATAGGATAGTGCACCTTGCGATTGTATCCTGTCCAAAAGCCCATCCATATAAAAAAAAAACCCCTATTCCCACTTTCCAACAGACATCCACGGGACATTAAACCGAGAATGTCGGGGGCAGACTTGGGGTATCAGCTGTGGATTTCGGCTTCGCACACTGCTTGGGGTCGGGGAATTTGCACCGTTTTATGGGGCCCAGGTGTTACCGGGCCCCAGGCTTCTCGTGGGAGACACCAGATAGGAAGGTGAAGATTTTCTCTTGTGACTTGTAGCGAAGGGCAA